GACCCATATATATATATATATATATATATATATATATACAGTTATATATAGTTATATATATATAGTGAACCTTCAAGGGACCAAAATTTCGGTTCACTGTAACCCGGAGTTCACTATATCCATTACTCATAATTAGTAATCTTCAGCTGATGAGCAATCCTCAACATCAGAAATGGAAAAACTTCCTGACTCTCGTTAATTTTTCCTGAATTTCTATTATTCCGCTTTTTAAACCTGTAATTCGAGCACATAAAAGTAGTCGCACAAAATCGCTTTGCAAATTCATCGACATTTGTCCAGATACTAGAAGATTGCAGCTTCTTGGAATGGTGAACCACTTCAGTAATGCTTCAACATCCTTGTGATCTGCTTTTCTCAACTTTTTTCTGCCATCAAAATTTTTGCATGAGCAGAAATTATTGCCTATTTTTCCATATGTTACAAACTTCAGATTTGGATAGTTTCCCTGTAAATATCAGCTTGATTGCATCCATTTTCAATTTTTCTGATTATGCCCATTTTATCATCAATGGAGAACGTTCTACGTTTACTGCTCGCCATAGTTAAATTTGAGAAACTTGTTTGCAGGCTTTTTTTAACAGAACTGAGAGAAAGAAGGTATTATATGAGGGCCTTATCAACACATATTAGTGTCCAACCCTTTGACCAATAATGAATAATAACTCATTCCCTCCGACAGAAAATGCTTATTGATCCCACTGACACCTTACAGGTGCATTTGCCTGGGGCCCTACCATGAACTACCGGGAATGGAATGAAGATTCCCGGCTGGAAAGTGAAACTATAGGAAAGTTTGGTTCCATGAATGCTCAATAATGTACCATGAACACTCCCTTGGAATCAGACATTCCACGATAACTCGCTCTCAGGGCGTGGTTAAGATTTAACCAATCACACAATTTACTTTAGATTTTCTTTTGGAGTTTGGCAGCATTAGCATGAGTAAAACGAAACGAGCTTCTGCTATTTAGATAATATTTTTGACTACTTATTGTTTTCTTTTTATAATGTTTTTTGTTTTCATTAGACTAAAAAAACATGAACTGCGAATACTTTGAAATATTCTTTAATTTATTATACATATAGTTTTATTAATTAAAAACTGTCATATTTATCATGTATAATTCATAAAATAAAATCATTTTTTCATAATAAATATTTCTGATATATCCCTTAATACGTTTCATTATTTATTTTAAATATTTTTTAAAAAGTACAACTCTTAAAATAATGATCATATTTTAATGAATTAAGATTCAAAATTTCGTGCCTGAGAACTGCAAGTAGATAGATTACTAATTATACTAGTTTTTAAATCAAAACTAATTGCCAGAAAGAATTCAAATTTTATCAGACAAAAAAATTAACGTTTACCTTGATCTCTTTGAAATTAATTTAATTTCAGAAAAGTTCATTAGTTTTCAATTAAATTTGTAACAGTATGAATGACTAAAGTTACTACTTTGCTTATTACTTTGGTTTATTTGTTACATTATAAAAGTGACTGTTTTTACTGATAGTTAAATAAATATGTTCACAAGAAATTAATTTATAGAACTGCGTAATATTTTTTTCGTAATTTGTAAAATCATTTTACGTATGAAATACTTAAAAATTATAGTTCAGGGAACTACTTCCGCAGCTTTTATAGTATATATTTTAATGGAAGAATGAGAATAAAAATTTTGAAAATGAGTAAAAGAAGAAATAAATACAAATTTCATAAATATTTTTTGAAACTTTTTTATTCTTTTTTGTATTTCTTATTATAAATAAATTGTTTACTTTATAATACATCATGCCTGTAAAAAATTCTTTTGAATGTGCTGCCATTGGTGTATAGTATAAAGAACTATCGTTCGAAAGGAAGTTAAATATTGTTGAATTAAAAGTTCATCGAAAGAAAATTAAAAAAAGAAATGATTGGAACTTCAGAAAAAGGTATTGGCCAAGTAATACATCCTGTAATAATAACTTAGAAATAGTAACAATTATTATATAATGAGTTTGCCGTAATTTCTTAGTTAACTCTGAAAGTATCTTTTCGTTCACACATACTAATGAAACAAAACATTTCTCTTTTAATTATCGTCTTGAAAATGGCTCGGGCACGTTTATCTTTTAGAAATTTTGTTATCTTCTCTTATGAAATAGAAAAAATTAAGACATTCATCGACGAAATATCGTATTTAGTCCTTAAAAATTCATCATTCCCTCCTTGGAACGACGATTCCAGGTGCCGGAGACTGGTTGGAATGAAACCGATTCCAATTCCAGCCAAGAAACTCTTTCCAAGGTGTTCGTGGTGGGGAAAATAATTCCCGTTGGAACGTGACGTCATTCCCAGATGGAATTTCATTCCATGGAGCTCATGGTAGGGTTCCTGGGTTGGAAACATTTGCTTGGTTTGCTTAGGGATGGGAAAGTGAGATAAAAGAAGCAAACAAGAAAAAATGCCTATCGCTACATTGCCTCTATGGATGGTTTTAAAAATCGGTATATGTATTTATTTTGAAGTAGAAATTTCAAAATTATTACAAAAAAATAAGTTGAAGACAGAAAAAAGTTCATTATATCCAACTTCCTCGTTTTTTGGTTCACTGTACACACAAAAGATAACATTATACGGGTATAGCAAGGCACAGTACCCAACATTTCGCTCACTATAGCGGGGTTTGATGGTGTGTGTGTATATATATATAATATGTAGAAGTTATGATATCCAAAAATGTGACAAAAAAGTGCAATTTTTAAACCACCTAATTAGAAATTAAAAGATTTTAAATTTTTACTGATCAGGAATTACCCCTTCTCTTGATCATTTCTGGGGTAATTATTGCTCACCAGTTTTTATAGTAAATGGGCTATTTAAAAATGATTATAAAATGGTAATTAACAAATAAGACATCAAGATCAAACAAATAAACCATAAGATATGTTTAAGCAGCTAATAAAGCGATTTATTTAAAAGAAGGATTGAAGATTAACACTTTAAATTTTCCAAAAATCTTTGCATCCTGCCATACATTTTAGGCAAGCAGCCAACTCATTCTCATGTTCTGCTGGAATATAAGAACGAATTCCCACATGGGTTAATTTTGCTGGATTTTTTTCAACTTCATTAAGTGAGAGTGTAAAGTTAAGTAAGGCATGTCAACAGCTCTCACACTGAAATTTTCATCTTCAATCATTAAAAGAAATTCACTAATTTTGCTTTCTAGAAGCGAAGTATCCTTTTTAGGCTTATAATTTCTCACCATATTTATAAACTTAAACATAATTCTAACAATGTTTACTCATTAAATTAAAATAGAAGCAAGATAAGAAAAACCAGAAATGGTGCAAATCAGAACACATTTGTCTTGTATACAGTTAAAAACAAATTTTGTGATTACAGTTAAAATATATTTTATAGTTGTTCCACTTAATAAATATGAACTGTTATTAAAGAAAAGACAATTAGCTATTTATTAGTTATTTTTATTACTATTTATAAAAAGAAATGACAATGACCAGGAATTACCACAGTGATCAATTATTATCCCATCTGTAGGGCAACATTTGATACAGTTTCCTGTTATTAATTATAATATTTACAGTAGATGTGAAACAATTAAACAGAAGCTTACACTAATTTTATATCAAAGAAAAAGAAAGTAACTCAAAATATTTATTATTAAGAGAAGGATGCAGAAATGTGCACATTTTGAAACCCACCTTCGAAATGGAAAATACAGAAAGCAGTTTAAAAGTTACTTATTTTGTTAGATTAAACAAAAAAACTATTATTAAGTAAATGTAATTATACTTAAGCAAAGTGTACAAGCATTCTTGTTCATGTCTCAAATTTAAAAAAAATTATTTTTTTTAACTTAGGAGATCATTATTTACCCCAGAAACAGAGTGATCGGGAATTACCCCGGGTCACCCTACATAACATAACTAAACACTAAAACACACAATTCCTTCTAGCTGAGACACAACAAGGAAGAAAACACTGCCCATCTATTTTACATTTTCCAACAATTACACCTATCTTTAAATTTTTTTTCTCAAAAGTATAAAAAAAAATAATCTAACACAGAAAATTTATAGTTAGAAATTAAACTTTTTAAAATGTTACTTACTTATCATGATATAAAAGAAATTGAACGAGTATGGGAACAACTCCTGTAGCAATCATAGCATCGATACATGGACAAGGCTCCCTGGAAAGTATATTGTTGGCATTTTGAGCTGCAATCAATTGTTGATGAGCATTTAGACTACAAATACCTTGAATCATTTCTTCTATAGACATTCCAGCAGTCTATGAAAATAAAATAAACTTGAAGAAAAATTCTATATCATTGATTAATACACAGTCCAGTCACATTAATGTGACCACCTGTCAAAAGCCAGCATAACCACCTTTGGCAGAGCGGACCGCTGAGAGACGTGCGGGAAGAGAGTCAATTAGGTTGCTGAAGGTGGTGACTGGGTTGTTGAGCCATGCCGACTCGAGTGCCGTGGCTAGCTGCACTAGATTACGCGGTTGAGATCCATGGCGCGAACAATCCGATAGAGAGGGTCTCACAGATTCTCGATTGGGTTTAAATCCGTTGAGTTTGCTGGCCAGGGGAGTACGGTAAACTCATCCTGGTGCTCTTCGAACCACGCACATACACTGCGAGCTGTATGACACCACGCATTGTCCTGCTGGTGGATGCCACCATTCTGAGGAAAAATCGTTTGCATGTGGGGGTGGACATGGTCCGCAAGGGCAGATGGGTACTTGTGCTTATCCATCATACCTTCCACAATGATAAGTGCACCCAGTGAATGCCAGGAAAACATTCCCCAAACCATAATGGTCCCTCCTCCAGCCTGGATCCTTCCGGCAATTGTTGCAGGGTGTTTACTTTCAGACGTTTAACGCCGTATACGCGAACGTCCATTTGTCGGATGGATCATAAAACGTGATTCATCGGAAAAAGCCACTTGTCGCCACTCTGTGAACGTCCAGTTGCGGTACTTGCGAGCAAATTCCAGCCTTCGTCGACGATAAACAGCAGTCAGCATAGATGCATTAACGAGGCATCTGCTGCGGAGGCCCATGCGCAGCAACGTTCGCTGAACAGTTGTTGAGGATACACTCTTGGTAGCTCCTTGGTTCATCTGGGCGGTCAGTTGCTCAACAGTTGCACGTCTATTCGCCTGAACGCATCTCCGTAGCCTTCGTTCGCCTCTGTCATCCATAGCCCGTGGTGCACCGCATGTGCCACGACGCTTGTTTTGGAAAGTGCCATTTTGCCATGCACTGCATACTTTTATCATGGCGGCACGCGAACAGTTCACAAAATTAGCCGTTTCCGAAATGCTTCCACCCTTGACCCGAAAGCCAATAATCATGCCCTTTTGGACGTCGGATAAATCGCTACGTTTCTGCATTGCGCCAACGACTGAAATGCTTTCCGATGCCTTAGGACATCCAATATATACACTACACTGTAATGTGCTGCCATCTGCACTCTGTGATTGGTTATTTCACGTTGACGTCGAAAGTAGGTGGTGGTCACATTAATGTGACTGGACTGTGTATATAATTATCAATATTATGATTAATATATAAAAGACTGACTAAATGCTTTAATTGTATGTACATTGTTTAATTTCTCATAACTTTTAATTAACATTTTTGAATAGTGATTTCATTAGATTTTGGAAAATTTGGATACTTTGAACCAAAAACAAATTACTAAGTCTCTTTTTGCCTGAAGCAGGTTCCAATTTATAATATTAATTCTTTCTTCAAATATTTATATAAAAAGTAAACATTTTGACTAGAAAAAATAATGTAATTAACAATCACTTTAGAAATAAGACAGAACTAAAACCAAAATTCTTATCTGATATTTACCAAAGCTAATAAGAGATTCTTTATATGCACACATATAATGCTTATTTGATAATAGAGTTGTAACGAATAGCGATTTGGTTGAACAAAATATTCAGTAAAAAAAAAAAAAATCTGCAGAATACCAAATATTTGGTGGCTTACTTTTAAAAAAATCATTGTACATAAATTTAGTTATTATTGAAAAGTGATCAAAACTTAGCTTTATTGCTGGTAGGATAAAAAATTCAATAACCTTGCTACATTTGAAATACAGTAATGTCCTGCGACCTCAGCCGGTAATAAGAAATAAAAAAAAAGTTAAGACCAAAACTAACTACATTCAGTAAAAAATAATGTTAATATTTAATTCATTATTTCAATTCATTTAATCAAGTTAAAAATATTAATTAGGTTAGGCAAATGATAAAAATAAACAGGCAATAATCAAGTACCAAGCTTCCGTCAAACTAGGTACCCAGTAAACAGGGTTACCACAGTAAAATATGATCAAAAATAGTTGCTTTTAGTAGCCTTAATCATGAAAATAGTTGCCTAAAACTATAAAAATAGTTGCCTGAACAAAAACAAAAATTTATCAAAAATAGTAGCCAAATAACTAAAGTTATAGCTAAATTGTCAAATTACTATGATTAGGATCGGGTGATGTCAGAAATTTTAAATCGCGATACATCATCCGTTAGACATCGCAATATAGCGATTTAGCATATGTTCAAAAATTACCAATGAGAAATCTTTAAATTAATCAAAAATAAATAAAAAGGAATAAATCTATTACAAAAGGAAATATTAAATCTAAACATATTCTACAATGACATTAATATCATTGCTTAATTTTTTTAAATTAAAATAAAGAAGTCAAAGTAAAAACAAAACGAAGCTTTATTTCATTCTTCTTAAATTAAAAATGATTTAAGATTTATTTGTTTAAACCTAATACTGTAACAAAATATTTTACATACATGCATTAAAAATGAAAAGAAATTTTTTTTTTAATTATTTGTTGAAAAAAAACATGCTTCTGAAACATCATTAGACCCTCTTTTATTTAATAACTTAAAATAATAAAAAGTAGTATTAACTAATGGTCGAATTCTGTACTTAATAAATGTAAAAATATTTTTACTTATTTATTATTATTTTCTTTTATGAAAATAAAGTCGACTTAAGATTTATTTGTTTAAAAATGATACTGACCATCTAACAAATTATAAAACAAACAAGTATTGAAAGAATTTTAATAAAAATACTTTATGTACTAATGTTAAATTATTAAAAAGTGTCAAAGCATTAAACTCTTTATTTAATTAAAAAAATTATTATTTTAACTAATAGCAAAATTTTTTCAAAAAAAAAAAAAAAAAAAAAAAAAAATTCTGCAA